CTTCATCTAGGTTAGACTAGGGTTTTGTTTAGAGAAGTTTAGCTATTGCTACTTTTATTTGTCTTCGCTCGTAGCGGCTAGTGCGACCGTCAAGACATCTATCGGAACCCCAATTTGTGAAATCTATTCATCTAGCATATCCACAATTTCAGATTGTTTCGCTATTATTTTTTTGCATGTTCTTCGATTTGCTTGCAGAAAAAATCCTTTGTGGGTAGGTCGATCGCGCCGTTGGCTCGGTCGATAAAGCCGTGGAGTTGGTTCAGCGATTGCCGTGGATATCAGTCGTGTACGGTTCTTCCTGTATGGTTGGTAGCCGGATCGTGAGGGTCAAGTCCCATCCAAAATCATAGTTATCTCCCTTACATCGAAAGATCGGGCCCCCGTGCACATCACACAGGATCAATGGAAGTGGTGGCGGGGTGTCCGGAGACGACGAGCGGAGGATGAGCTCTGGGACATCGCGGCACCGCGACGTCGACGGAACGCGGCAACGCAGATATGCTTGTGTGCGTGCAAAACGATCGGTACTGCCAACGGCTGGTGCATGGGCCTTAAATACATGCAGCTGGGTAAAGTGTTTACGTTATACAATGTGCGGTGCAACGGTAGTATTCCGTCCTCTCGCCTGCACATGCGCAGTGCTTGCAGTAGCTGCGTCAGTCCGACTGTTAGTTCACAGTACAACGAATACAACATACACGAAACATAACGCTCGTCGGCGGTGCACTATACTCGAAGTAGCACTTCGGCTGGTCCTAATCGCGATGATGTGCCAGCCGTGGATGCGCTGCGTGCAGCTGCCGCTGCGTGCAGCGATGGACTTCTCCATCCCACTCCTACTAGCTAGCGCCCACAGACTACGCTCTCTGAAAATGCATTCAACAGTGCCTAGCTCATTTCTAGTGTCGCTCGTGCCGAACACTTATATTTCTCTGTTTCCATAGACACCAGCAGATTAGCATTACAAACGAGTCAAAGTCCTTGCGCATAGTCTTCTGCATTGTCTTCCGGGCCATCATCCACCAATCTTGCGGTTGCAACAGTGAAAAGGGCATTCTCATTAGTATCAAGACTGGATTGAGAAACAAAATGCGTCAATTGAATACTATGTTTGGTTTCAATATAGATTGACTCTTGTATGCATTGAAACCGGAGTTTTTTGGGTAGTTTTTATCCCTTAATTTCTTGCCTGGGGCGGAGTCAGCCACTGTCTATGATAATGATTTTGATTTCACAATGCGGCTGCATAGTAGTTGTAGTGCGGCTTGGTGGTTCCGCCTCCGCCTCCTCCTCCTCCTCGTCTTCTTCGATGTCGATCGGCATCCACCTGGACCCGGGCGCCGGAATCCCCATCACCACCACCTGCGGTAGCGCCGGCGGCTAGATCTGGCGGTAGCGAAGAGATCGAAACACCTTCCACTTCTCCCTCTGCTCCGAGATCGGCGACTCTGCCTCAAGCATCGCCCAGAGCAGCAACCCCATCGCCGGCTGGCGGTCGTAGTTGGGGAAGCACCTGAGGATTTCCTCTCCCCTGAGCTTGTCCCTCACCATCCCCCACGCGTCATTGAGCGCCTTCGCCGCCGGAAACCAGCGGTCGATCTCCTTCAACCTCCCCATCAGCACCTCGTCGCCGGCGGCCAACGCCCACATCCGCTGCTCATGCGTCGTCATCCAACCCTAGCTCTCGGTGCGGCGGAGCGCGGTGGTTTGCGTGATTGGGGGTAGTGGGGAGGAGAGCGGTGGAGAGCCGAGGCGTCTGCGTGGGCCTCCTAATATCCTCTCTCTCTCCCCTCCCCTCACGCCATTACTCACCTTGGGAACCGCACCGAACTCGTCCCACCGGTCAGCCGCCGCAATTCACGCCAAGTGGCACGGGAACTACCATCTGGCCCACCGTGAACCCCGCGTCATCGCGCCACCCCTGTGCGTCGACCACCACCTCGTCGGCATTGAGGAGCTCCAGCCGCTGTCCTCGCCGGCGCACAGCTCCTGGCCGGAAAACCAGCAGCGCCGTGCCGGGATTCAGCACGAAGTCGCACCTGAGGCGCGTGTCGCCCCGCAAACATGCGTCGCACGTCATCCCCCTTGGGAGTGGGTACGTAGACAGGTATGCTAGATCTGTACCAGTATTCTACGTGTATGCACCACTAAGTGTCATTCACTGATTAATCATCTTCCGTATGCTGTACTACAACTCCCTCCCAGTTTTGATATACCTGGGATTCTGTTCTGGGTACCCCAGAAAACCATGTGACAAGCGCACATGGAACGGTGGCAGCATCCATCAGGCTTCCACAAGGTAATGAAATGGGTCAGATATATAGGGCAGCATCAGGTTCAAGCACAATCATCTCGTTTCCCACCGGGTAGTAGTGCATCTTTTCCTTTGAAAGGACTCCAGATATTTATTTATTTTCAAAACGGAAGCATAAGATTTGTCTTATCTATTAAATAAAGAGAGAATAGAATTTAGAGAATTACAACACACCCACACATTCAGCATGACAATTACTCGCCCAGAAAAATATTCCCTAATTTCTTTGCGCCTGCGGCCATCCAAAGCTTGGCCTCGTCGACGATGGTGGTGAGTAGGATGGTCGGTGGTGCACTTTTATGGCGGAACACCCGTGCATTTCTTTCATTTCAAATGGTCCAAGAGACGAGCATGGTGAGGAAGGCCATAACTTGCCGGTTAGGGTTGCGGTTGTTGGTTCTTTTGTCCACCACTGAAAGACGGAGTTGTCCATGTATCAGAAAATCGACACGGGGCGCACCTACAAAATAGCACGACAACGGCATCAAGAAATGGATGTGCACCGGCGTACTCACCACTCGTCGGGCAAACATAAAACCACATCAGCTTAATTATATCATCTTTGTCCACGGATAGAGGGATAGGCTGGGCTTAAAGCCTAGATGCAGGCACTGAGATGTGCCCAGTGTGCCATCTTGAGAAGTTGTTGATGCAGCACAAAGGTGGGAGCGCGAAAAGAAGATGAGCAGCGGTCCGCTCAGCATCTGCCCTTCTTGTAGCTCAGCATCCTGAATTTAGCACACAAGTAGTACATAACATCCCAGGTATGAAATTAGGCTAAGTGGAAGACCCTGACTGAATCACCCCCCCCCCCCTCCCGCGATGCGCCCCGCGAGCGCGTCACGGGGGCTCCAGATCCGCTCGTGGGGGTGCTGGGTCCGGCAGGGCCCCCGGTGGCAGGGACGCATGGATCCGGTGGCGGTTGCACGGGGAGGCGACGGTGCAGCTCCGTGGTGGCGCGCCCGGTGCTGCTGGTTTGGATCCTATGGTTCACGGAGGCTGCGGGTGGCAGCTGCCTCTGATGGAGAGAGCGCCTCCCCTTCCTCGACGGGGGGTGGCGTTGGCGCTGCGGTGCGCTGTCTTGGCCGTGCTGGGCGGCAAGGCGGCGGCGGGCGTGGTTCCGATCTGGAGATGGCGGCTGCACAGGCGCTTGTTCCCCTCTGCCTGCCAGTCGTGGGCTTCCCCCAGGCATCTTGCTTGGATGATTGGCGATGCAGTGGAGGTTCGGGCTCGGGGTCGGGGGAAACCCTTGACCGGCGGTGCTGGTCATGATGTTGGCGATGCTCTCGGCGCCGTTTCTCCCTCTGGTGGGCGACATCGAGACCTCCTCCTTGCCCTCTGCCCCTGGCCAAGGGCGAAAGCCTAAAATCTCTTGATTGGGTGGCGACGGCGCCTCGGCGTCGATTCCTTCTTGAAGGCGCCACCTTGGGAGTCCAGGGGGTCAGGGGCTCGGCGCGGTGGTGCTCTGCCTATTCGTCGGTGGTGTGGGCTTCTTGGTCTTGGCCGGTGACGATGGCGACGTATGGATTCCTATGAGAGGTGAGGTGGCCAGGGTTGCCATCCGAGCTCAGGGGTGAGCGATTCCGCATCGCCGGAAATCCTAAAATATATTCATGAATAAATGCGAGCATCAGGACTTGAACCCTGATGGGTTGGGGATACCATAGTCCCTCTAACCATCCAACCACAGGTTGGTTCGCTTTCATTGTGGATTCTGAAATAAAATAACAAGTCCCTTTTTTAAGTACATGCCAATTTAGTTATCCACCTCTCTCATATCCATGCTTTTTTTATCGTAATTTCACCTGGGTTACCAGGTCGTGTAGGTTGAAGACCCACCCCGACTAGCGGAGGACACACAGAGAGGTAAGAATCATCAACTCAACGAGCCTGAGCCAACAGAGCTCTTTTGCTTCCACTAACTAAGCCAGCATGCCACAGGACGAGACACTGCTGCCGCCGCTGGTGGGCTTTCTGCTTTCACATTACCGAGCATTTGGTTAGATAGACTGCTGACTGCTGATGAACCACAAACTGTCGCACAAGAGAGAATGGAGATTATAATCCAAAAGAAAGCCCCCACAGTTACCAACAGTTGGTGTCCCATTCGCCACGAGATGCACTGTAGCAGAGTTTGGCACGCCGCGATCGCCATAATCCAAAAACAACCTCGTGGCCTCTAAATATGGAGGCTGTGGTCTGTGCAGGCCCGATTCACAACCACGCTCCATCGCCAACACATTCTTGCTTTTAATAGCCTTGCATCATATATAATTGGTGCGCAGGCCAACTTCCTAATAATCTTTCTTACTGCCATCACCGGGTTTTGCTGAATCTAGTCATCCAAAACCAGATGATCGGTGTGCACAATTAGAACAATAGACATATCATTCTGGGGTTACCAGAAAATAACCCAGGAAAGAGAAAACAATGTGGACATTCCTTCGGCTGATTCCACCTCATTGTTCATAGACCGTTACAATATGCAAAAGCATCTCATCAGTTGTGAGGCATATTATTAACATAGTGCCTTCAAACGAAAACCTAGCGTGTTACGCGCTCAAAATTTCCGAGTTCTCTGCAGACATCTCAGATGTTATTTGAGGGGGTACTCCTCAAACACGACTTGCTAAACAAACTGTTTACAACAATTACAAGTTGCCTCGTCGTCGCAATCATCTCTCTATTGCTCGGCTGCAATCTTTCTGATGACATATGGTAGAATACCACCATGGGTGTAGTAAGCAAGCTCCACCTGAACACAAATCAACAATTTCAACGTCAGAAATCACCATTGATAGTCAACACTCGCCTAGACAAAATGCTCAGGAAAGAATGTCTGTACCTCGGTGTCAAAGCGGAGTGTGCACGTGAACGACTTGCCGTTGTCGGTTGTGACTGTAACATCTTGGCCAGGCTTGATTTCATTCACATCAGTCGGAAGCTGGATGGTGTAACGCTCATGGCCAGTTAAGCCAAGACTGTCGGCATCCTCCCCAGCCTTGAAGCATAGAGGGACGATGCCCATTCCAGCAAGATTGCTACGGTGAATCCTCTCAAAACTCTTGGCTATCACGGCCTTCACTCCCTGCAGACACAAAGCGAAAGCAGCACAAACCATTAGTGACAGCTAGTGTCATGATGTAAGCAAAGAGACTATTAGGTGGGAAGCATAGTTACCTGAAGCATTGGACCCTTTGCAGCCCAATCCCTTGAGCTTCCACTGCCATACTCAGCACCAGCCAGGATGATAGTGTCATGCCCTTCATTCTTGTATTTCTGTCAAAAACACACACACAAAATGAAAATCGTTCAATGAGATATGAATGCTTTCTATGTTGCATCAATGAAAAGCAAACTCTGGATTCTATGAAGTTCAAGTATATATTACCATAGCAGCATCAAAAACAGCAAGCTTCTCCCCTGATGGAACATGGACGGTTTTGGGGCCAACCTCTCCCTTCAAGAACTTGTTCACAATGCGAATGTTGGCAAAAGTTCCCCTAGCCATGATCTCATCGTTCCCTCGTCGACTGCCATATGAGTTGAAGTCCTTCCTTTCAACATTGCGCTCCTTTAGATATTTGGCAGCTGGGCTGTCTGGGTGGATGCTTCCAGCTGGGGATATGTGATCAGTTGTGATACTGTCACCGAAGTTGAGAAGACAATACGCATCCTTCACAGGCCGTGCGCCAGGAGGGGTCATTGTCATATCCTTGAAATAAGGAGGCTCATGGATGTATGTTGATTTTGGATCCCATGGGTAGAGAGTGCTTGCTGATACTGGCAGCTCATTCCACATAGGATTTCCTTTGGTGATTGCCTCATATGTGCCCTTGAACATGTCTGGGAGCACACTCGCCTTAACAACCTACAAGAATTAACAGCACAAATATATGAGGAATATCCCAAATCTAATATGGTCTCAAAGAGTACATGGAGATAAATATAACAAAAATTAAAGTTGCAGTGCCCACCTCAGCAATCTCATCAGTGGTAGGCCAAATATCCCTGAAGAAAACCTCTTTCCCATCTTTTGAGATGCCTACTGGTTCTTTCTCAAAATCAATATTAACCTGCAGCACATGGTCGACAGTTCAGCAAGGAAAATCACAAGAATAAGGAGGGAGAAGTTTGAACGTGTTGGCTTAGTAGAACTGCACCTTGCTTGCGCTAGTGCATTGCTAGAAAATCACAAGAATATTTAGGCAGAAGGTTGAACTACTCCCTCTGTCCCATAATGTAAGACATTTTTTGACACTAGTGTAGTGTCAAAAAGGTCTTACATTATGGGATGAAGGGAGTAGTTAGCTTAGATCAGGGCTCTCACAGTAATGAATTTTATCTGTCAATCCAAGTTGTAGCATTATAGTTGCCCGGAAAAAAAGTAGTAGCATTACATAAAAATACACATTATTGATTTGTATGGCTAGTTCCACGATTTAGCAAGGCGAACCAAAAGAATAACTACACAGGCATTTGAACTAGTTAGCTTAGTAGGTATGCACCCTCCTCTCACACACAAATTGTATTGGTGAGTCCAAGTAGTAGCATTACATAAATGACAGCAATCTTTATTTGTTCCGGTACTTCCACAATTTAGTTTGAAATAATATGCAGAGGTTTCAATATTGGGAAAATGCATGTTCTCTTACCGTGCCAGCGAGAGCATAGGCCACAACCAATGGGGGAGATGCGAGATAATTTGCTCGGGTCAACGCATGTACACGGCCTTCGAAATTCCTGTTCCCAGACAACACAGCAGCAGCGACAACATCTGAAAGATAAAAAAGTGAGTAAAATGCACTATTTCACAACTTTCAATCCTTTCTCAACCAGCAATGTCAATCTCACCGTTGTCGGTAATTGCAGCAGCTACGGATTCATCAAGATCTCCAGAGTTTCCTATGCACGTTGTACACCCATAGCCAACAATATTGAAACCAAGCTGGTTAAGATACTTCTGCAGACCACTGCAAAGGAAAACAAAGAAAAATTAACAAAGGATCCCCAATGAAAGGGAACTTTTAGTCTAGAGAAGCAAGAGGCACCTCTTGTCCAAGTACTTCTTCACAACACCAGAACCTGGCGCAAGACTTGTCTTAATCCATGGTTTCACCTAATTAATACCAACAGTGTTAAACTAGAGCAACAGTTGGCAACCTAAAATTAACAGAACATAGGCAGAGAAAGTAGCACTAAATCATAAACTTCACTTGCAATAAGAGAAAAGGCTGCAACAATTTCAAACATAAAACTAACTGAACCCATTTTAACATGAGGGTACGAATTACGAACATGATGGAGTTCCTCATGTTTTGAAATAGCACAAGACAAAGTGAGAAATTGACATAACTATAAGCAGAAATCAGAAAACATAAAGTTGAGGACAGTGAGACGAACCTCCAGGCCTAGGTCACAAGCCTTTTTGGCAACCAAAGCAGCTCCCAGCATTACATTAGGATTTGATGTGTTGGTGCAACTGGTGATAGCCGCAATTACAACATCACCATGCTTTATCTTTGCTGGCGTCCCACGGAATGAAAACTCAGCAACTTTACCCTGTGATTCCTTGGGGACAGCAAAACCCTGCACAGAAACGGTGTAGTGAGCATAAGAGAAGGGGAAAGAGGGGGATAAAAAAAAGCACAGTAAATTTTCAGGTATGAAGTATTTGTATATGTATTTTCTGCAATATTATTGCAGTATGGAATTCCAATCATCCAATCAACATTGTTTTTTTTAGACAATCACCTAGCCAACATTGTATTTTCATAGGATATCCAAGAATGATAAAAATCCATCTTATCAATAAATAAACAGCAAGATTATGGCAAATAACACAAGAACAACAGTAGAGTATGGACGTAAATTCTTACCTTGAACCCTACTTTGTTGTCCAGGCAAGAAAGCCAATCTGACTGCATGTTCTTCAATGTCACTCTATCATGAGGCCTGTTGAGTATATCTTTCATTAGTCAAGAATGAGACGCATATGCCAAGGATATGAGTTCCCCCGGTTACATTACCGTTTTGGTCCGGACAGACATGGTTCCACCTCATCCAAGTCAAGTTCCAGATAAGATGAATACACTCTTTCAGCTTGAACCTACATCAAAGGAGAAGCATCAGTATTACAAAAAAATAGAAGTATATTAACACATAGTAGACAACTTATCATCAAATAAAGTATGAAATCACCTGCTTGTAGTCGACAAACATATTATTTGCACGGAGGTAAGTCTCTATCATGGCCACCTACAGAATGTGACTGTCAAAAACTAGATGCATGTGCAGTTAAGGTGCAAATCGAAATGCAATCACAGCCTATAACATACAGTTTCATCACTTCTGCCAGTTAGCTTCAGGTAGTCCAATGTCTTTGCATCAACTGGGAAGAAACCCATAGTCGCACCATATTCTGGTGCCATGTTTGCGATAGTAGCCCTATCAGCAAGAGATAGTTCACCCATACCTCCCCCTGGAATTTGTAGTGTGCAACATTAGAGAAGCTCGTAAAAGAAAGCGGTGTGGATTACGAAGCAATGGCATGAGGGGTACCATAAAATTCAACAAACTTCCCAACAACACCATGTTTCCTAAGCATTTGAGTTACTGTTAGAACCAAGTCTGTGGCTGTAACTCCATTCCTCAGCTTCCCTGATAACTTAAAACCAACAACTGCTGGCAAGACCATGCTCATTGGCTGCAGAACAGACCACAATCAATTCAGACAATTGGCATAAATGGATGATCCCAGCAACTATCTGTTTCACACCCTCTTTTTTATGTCAGAGAGGTCCCAAACATAAAACATAAATCGTTGCAGGCATACTATCAGAGATAAAAACTTGTTATCAGCAGATATTAACTTCACCTGCCCAAGCATTGTAGCTTCTGCCTCTATACCACCAACTCCCCATCCAGCAACACCAAGACCATCTATCATAGTTGTGTGTGAATCTGTGCCGACAACACTATCAGGGTAAAGTATCCCACCATTGTTGAAGACAACCCTGGCCAGATATTCAAGATTCACCTAGAAACGGAATTGTTAGTGTTTACTAACAGAAGTAACTTAGATGATTATTTAAGAACAAAACAGTTGTTTTATTGAAATACCTGGTGAACAATTCCAGATCCAGGTGGAACAACAAGCATGTTATTGAATGCAGTGGAACCCCATTTCAAGAATCCAAACCGCTCCTTGTTACGGCTGAACTCAAGCTCCATATTTGCCTGAACAGCATTTTCCGATCTTGCCACATCAACTTGTACTGAATGATCCACAACAAGGTCTACAGGTACCTGAAAAAATATACATGCAGCAATATAAGCAAGAGCACAAAGACACAGGCATAAAACTGTCATGCTAAAGCTACCCTTGGGGGTCAGTTGACAAAGAGAGCAGTTGCAGGCTGCGGTAGCGCCCACTTTGAGGGGAAAAGGCTACATGGATTATCTTTTGAAACCCTTTAATCAATTACAGTTGATAGGATTAAGAAGTTGCAAACGTATCATTCAAACCCTAACTGGAATAGATGTCATAGCTTGACTAACTGGAATAAGATGATATGCTAAGAGCATGCTTGGATACGTTTTAGTCCCATGACTAAAAGTAGTGGGACTAAAACTTGCTAGTCTCACCCATGCTTGGATCCAAGTACTAAAGAGACTAAAATCTAGTTATTGAGCATTTATTATCCTCCAAACCCTCCAATCCAGAACTAAGGAGAGGAATTAAATGAGGAGAGAGAGAGCTAATACATATTTTAGTAGGTTTCCCATGACTAAAAGATTTTAGCCTCAAGACTAGTCCTAGCCTCTCTTTAGTCAGGGGTGCTTGGAACTTTAGCCTCTAAAAGAGACTATTTTTAGTCAGACTAAAAATAGTCCCTTGTATCCAAGCACCCTCTAAGGGGCTAACCTCAATATTTAAGACTAAACAGTCATACACTCACACTTAAAAACACCATCAATAATTAATGATCTGATCTGTGTTCAATAAAGCATATATGTTCGGAATAAAAACAAAATCATACATTCTACCTTAGTCTTGATTAAACAAGATAAGATGAAAGGCTGTTAGTTAAGATAATAATGAACGAAGGACCAAAGAGATGCTATGAGAAATTCTCAATCAATGCAGCAATTTTTACAACATATATGGTCAGTTACGTAACTTGGTTATCAATTGTATCAAAACATAAGCATGCTCACTTGATGATTCTTTTGTAACATTGCATATCAAAATGTGGCATACTGAAGGATAAGTCGGGCAGTAAACAAAACACGAATGTCAAATATATTTCCAAGAAGCTATTAAGACAAGGAGATAGTAAATGTGACCACTGGTCAATGAACTCACCAGAGGATTAATTTTGTTCGGGTCACTCCCAAGTTTGCTCATAGCATCCCTCATACAAGCAAGATCAACAACTGCTGGGACACCAGTGAAATCCTATAAAGAGACAAATGATGAAGTGAATAAACTGAAGATTTCAGCAAGCAGAGCAAGGATCCACATCATCAAACATCTCAGCAGAAACGTATCAGAATAAAATAAGCAATGTATCCAGCTTACAGTACTGCTTGCCAGATTAAAATAGAAGTGTTGACTTTTATAGTTGTCACTAGAAGAAGAATATGTGATGACGAAGCAGCTAATCTTATACAGAAACCTATCACCTACTGGTGCACGATATCTATCTTTAAAAATCCAGGTGACAGCAGCAATCATACATCACATACATAATGGGAATAAGACATGGTGATTGGGGAACTACACTTTCTTGAAAGGATAGGAAAGGGGGCCTCCATTTCCAATATTCCTGCCACCAAAAGCTATTGACTCGAACCTTTCCAACTCACATATTCTTTCCACGGCAACTGGACAACTTGGAACAAAAGAAGTGGAGACGATGGCAGGAATCAGGATCAATACCTGGAGGAGGACACGGGCTGGCTTGAACGGGATTTCGACTTGCTTGGTGGCACTGTTCTCCCAGTCTAGGATCTTCTCAACGTCCTTCCCCGTGACCTGGAACTCGTCGCAGTTTCTGATTGCCGACTCGAGCAGAATCCTTATCGAGTAGGGTAGCCGATCTGATATAAAAGTCATGGGTCAAATCATCGGCAATTCACATAATTCAGCGATATACAAAACTGACTAGAAAACAACGCATCCAGAGGTCAATTCCACCGTCAGAATTCACAATTCGCCCCATGGGAACGTGGAGCAGCCAAATTTCACCAACATTACAGACTATCCAAGAAGGAGCAGATCAGAGCCTATTACGCATCGCTTTGGAGAACCAAACAATTCATGCACCCAACTCACAACAAGCGGTAACAGAGGGACCAAAACGCCGTGCAGAGCCTGATTAGATTCTCAATTCACCCAACACACGGCGCGGGCTAGGAACCAGGCCGCATAAGACGGATACCACGCCATAATAGCAGACGAAAATGGTGGGGAACAGGGAAACAACTCACCAATCCGCGGATCGGCGAGCGCGGGCAGGCTGTAGTACTTGCCGAAGTCGGCTCCCCCTCCCGGCTTGGCGAGGCTCGTGAGGATTTCATCGTACGAGTTCTTCGTCGCTGCGAAACAAACAAACGAACGAACAACCAGGCGGAGGCCCTGTTAGCGAGAGGATAGAGCGACGCGACGCGACGATCCGTTTCGAGGTGGCGGGGGGTCCTTACCGGCAGAGGCGAATCGGCGCTCGAAGACGGCGGCGGCGGAGGAGGAGGAGCGGGCGGCGGCACGGCGGCCGCCGAAGAGGCGGCCCGCGAGGCCCGACGCGAAGGCCCCGCGGGGGCCCTGGCCGCCGCGGGCGGCGTGGAGCGGGGACGGGGACGGGGAGGGGGCTGGCTCCGCGGCGGCGGCCGCAGCGGGCCTGGAGATCGCTGCCGCGGCCGCGGCGGTGGCGCGGGC